TCATCCTCCTGCTCCTCCTCCTCCTCCTCCTCCTCTTCCTCCTCTTCCCCCTCCTCCTGCTGCTGGGACGAGGACTGCTGCAACGCTTCCGCAGTCCCGGAAGACGCTTCTTCCAAGCCCAAGCCTGGCGGTCCCTCCTGCTCTGGTTGTTCCCTTCGCTCGATCTCCCCACCTCTCTCCTCGTTCTCCTCCTCCTCCTCCTTTTCCTCCTTCTCCTCCTCCTCTTCCCCCTTCTCTTGGTGCTGCTGCTGCAGCGAAGGCGGTGGAGACGGCTGCGGCAAGCCTTCCACAGTCCCAGAAGACGCCTCTTCTAGGCCCGAGCCAGTCGGTCCCTCCTGACCCGGTTTTCCACTTCGCTCGACCTCCCCACCTCTCTCCTCCTTCTCCCCCTCCTTCTCCTCCTCCTCCACCTCCTTCTCCTCCTTTCCCTCCTCCTCCTCCTCCTCCTCCTCGGAGTCCTTCTCCTGGTGCTGCTGCTGTAGCGAAGGCGGCGGTGACGGTTGCAACCCTTCCTCAGTCCCACAGGACGCCTCTTCCAAGACCAAGCCCGGTGGTCTCTTTTCTCCCAGCTGTTCACTTCGCTCGACCTCCCCATCTCTCTCCTCCTTAACCTCGTCTTCTTCCTCCTCCTTCTCCTCCTCCTGTTGCTGATGCCACGACATCAGTGACGATGGCTGCTCCAACCCTTCCTCAGTCCCAAAAGATGGCTTTTCCGAGGCCAAGCCCGGCGGTTCCTCCTCCCCTGGTTGTTCGCTTGGCTCAACCTCCCCGTCTCTCTTCTCCTGCACGTCCTTCCCCTCCGTCGCCTTCTCCTCCTCCTCCTCCTCCTCCTCCTCCTGCTCCTCCTCCTCCTCCTGCTGCTGCTGCTGTAGTAGTGAACCCGACGACGGCTGCTGCAACCCTTCCTCAGTCCCACAGGACGCCTCTTCCAAGACGAAGCCCGGCGGTCTCTTCTCCTCCAGCTGTTCACTTCGCTCGACCTCCCCGTCTCTCTCCTCCTTAACCTCGTCTTCTTCCGTCTCCTGCTTCGCCTCCTTTTCCTCCTCCTCCTGTTGCTGCTGTTGTGACGTCGGGAACGATGGCTGCTGGAACCCTTCCTCAGTGACTGTCCCAAAAGATGGCTTTTCCGATGCCAAGCCCGGCGGTTCCACCTCCCTTGGTCGTTCGCTTGGCTCGACCTCCCCGTCTCTCATCTCCTTCACGTCCTTCCCCTCCACCTCCTTCTCCTCCTCCTCCTTTTGGTCCTTCACTTTCTCCTCCTCCTTCTGCTGCTGCTGCTGCAGCGACGGCGGGGACGACGGGAACTGCAACCCTTCCTCAGCCTCTTCCAATACCAAGCCCAGCGATCCCTCCTCCCGTGGTTGTTCGCTCCCCTTGACCTCCCCAGCTCTCTCCTCTACCTCCTCCTCCTCCTCCTCCTCTTCCTCCACCTTGTCCTCCTCCTCTTCCTCCTCCTCCTGCTGTTGCAAGGCCAAGCCCGGCGGTGGCTGCTGCAACCTTTCCTCAGCCCTTGACGACGCCACTTGCAAGGCCAAGCCCGGCGGTCCCTCCTCCCCGTCTCTCTCCTCCTTCACCTTCTCTTCGTCCTCCTTCTCTCCCTCCTCCCCTTCCTCCTCCTGCTGCTGCAGCGATGGTGGAGGGGCCAACTGCTCCAACCCTTCCTCAGTCCCAGAAGACGCCTCTTCCAAGGTCAAGCCCGGCAGTCTCTCCTCCCCCTGTTGTTCGATTCGCTCAACCTCCCCGTCTCTCTCTTTCTCCTCCTCCTCCTCCTCCTCCTCCTCCTCCTCCTCCTGCTGCTGCTGCTGCCGCTGCTGCTCGGGCGACAGGGCCGACAACGGCTGCTGCAACCCTTCCTCAGTCCCAGAAGTCGCCTCTTCCAAGGCCAAGTCCGGTGGTCCCCCCTCTCCCGGGTGTTCTCTTTGCTCGCCGGATCTTCGAGACTCGTCAACTTCAGCGAAGGTTTCTGTAGACAAAACGATTCCAGCGTCTTCACCTCGCAAATGGGCACCAGATTCTACTGCCTCCTCTGCCTCCATCTCCTGTGCCGCAGGCCGAGGAGGAGGAGGAGGAGGAGGAGGAGGAGGAGGAGGAGAAGGAGGAGAATCCATCTGGTCCTCAACCGCGGGCGGAACTCCCCCGGGACCGAGCATTGTGGTAGCAAAAGCAGTCTCCCGCGAAATTACAGTTTCTTGCGGTTGATCGTCCGCTGATGCCTCTGTCTGCTCCACATCAGCAGTCGGGCTCCCGACTTCCATTCCCTCAACGTGGCCCGTCATCATCTCGGGTCTTTCTCTCCCTCCCTCATCGCCTTCTTCAGCTTGCCAGTTCGCCGTCGTCTCTTCCCTGCAAAGAGTTCGCGCCATTCCCATTAAACATATTATTACGCAGTGTCACTCCCACAAAAAAAAAAAAAAAAATCACGCGTTCAGAGGCGCGCAAGAATAACAGTGAACGAGACAGTGGTGTGATCACGACACTGAAAACTTCATGGTAAGCAAACAATTCAATTCCACAACTTGCCATTCAACGTGCGTGGAGAGAGCTCAGAGCACAACATGGATTTGCACAATACCAACCACACAAGAATTCGAGGAGGGAAACCATAAAAAAAAAAAAAAAAAAAAAAAAAGATCGCACGGAGATCATTACAAAAGTGAACAGCCGGCGAAAACAGTGAGTGGCAGCTGCTGGGACTGAACAGCCGTGACTGAAAGTTCAAGTGCCTTGAGTGGCATTGGCTGGTAGTGACAGGTAGGTAGTGGCAGTAAGGGACGTCAATAGACAGAATAGCAGAGCAGATTTGTAGAGTGTGGGAGAGCGTAGTACAGCGGCAGTAGGGAGAAGTAAGCGGCAATGAGCGGGGGGGAAGTGAGTGATACGAGTGGCATTGAGTGTTGGCATGGAGCGGCATTTTAGTGGACGGCAGTTGTGCGGCATTTGAGCGTGACACAGCTGTGCGGCATTTGAGCGTGACACACTTGTGCGGCATTTGAGCGTGACACACTTGTGCGGCATGTGAGCGTGACACACTAGTGCGGCATTTGAGCGTGATACGCCTGTGGTATTTGAGCGCGACGCACGTGCGGCGTGTGAGCGCGGCATTTGAGCGTGACACACTTGTGCGGCATTTCAGCTTGACAAACTTGTGCGACATTTTGCGTGCCACACTTGTATGGCATCTGAGCGAGGCACACTCGTGAGACATTCGAGCATGACAATTTATGCGGCATTTGACTGTGACACGATTGTGCGGCATTTGAGCGTCATTGAAAGGTATTGAGCATGGCATTGAGTGGCATGGAGTGGCATGGAGAATGGCATTGAGTGGCATTGAGTGGCATTGAGTGGCATTGAGTGGGACTGAATGGCATTGAGTAACATCCACTACTGTCGAGTGTCACCGAGTGGCATTGAGTAGCAGATTGAGCAGCAGCGTTGAGTGGCACTACTGAGTGGCATTGAGTAGCAACCTTGAGTGGCACTACTGAGTGGCATTGAGTAGCAACCTTGAGTGGCATCGAGTAGCATCATTGAGTGGCATTGAGTAGCAGCATTGGGTGGCATTGAGTAGCATCATTGAGTGGCATTGAGTAGCAGCATTGAGTGGCATTGAGTAGCAGCATTGAATGGCACTGAGTAGCGGCATCGAGTGGCATTTCGTGGCGGCATCAAGCGTCATTGAGCAGCATCTTAGCGGCATTGAGACGTATATCGCACCCGCATTGACTGCAAGTGGCATCGAAGGGCTTTGCGCGGCACTCCAGGCAGACAGTGGCAACATTACATCCCCGGGGCAAGGTCCCACTTGAACGGGTTAAGAGATTGTGGCCGTTGATCTTTGCTATCTACCGTCAATATCGCTTCATTCGTGTAAGTGGGACCTAGCCCCCGCATCATCGTGACACTTAGCCGGTCTAGATGCCAAACGGAGCCTTATCGTCACCGTTTTACGTTATCCTACCAAGCCCCAAACCGTCGCCAATGCTGTCTGAAATCTCAGCGAGCTACTCCTACTCCTCTGCTTTCACATCTCCCTTCTGCCTTTCGCCTTCCCGTTCCTCCCGATTGGCTCCGCTTGTTGTTTTTTTTTCATTTGCCTTGAGCTTGAGTACGATTTGAGTCGTACTCTCTCGTTTATTGCTCATATACGATTTGAGTCGTACTCTCGTTTATTGCTCATATACGATTTGAGTCGTAGTCTCGTTTATTGCTAATCTCATATCATCTCATCTGACCGACCGGTCGTCTAGCCGAGTCGTCCATGACGTCATCTTTCCAGTTCGGCCTCCCCGCACCACTCAGCAAATGTGCGAAATGCGAAAACGACAAAAACGGTGGCGGGCGTATCTCGTTCCATATTCCAGCTGTGCAGACACATTGTCCATTTTGCACATTTTGCACATTTGCTGAGCTAGTGCGGCGAGTCCTTCGGCACAGTGTCATCCGTTAAAATTGGACCAATAGATACAAAAAAAAAGATTAGTCTTGCCCTTTCGCACGCATGTCGATTAGTATAGCACAAATCCAGAGAAACGAATAGTGCAGCGAAGCCAATCTCATGTTCTCCCGAGCGGCCCCTGTTCGACGCCTCTCCAGAGTCCAAACCAAGGAAGGAAGACCACTTCTCTTCCGTCCCCGTCAATGATGCTACTACATCTTCCATCCCCTTCTCTCTAAGCCCGTCGTAGCCCAGGGGCAAGGAAGGAAGACAACTTGCACGAACGAATAATTTAAGAGATACTGACCGTAGATAGCAAAGATCAACGGCCGAAATCTCCTACAAATTTGCGCAAGCGGGACCTTGCCCCGTTCATGATGCGTCAGCAGAGCAGCGCATCATGAACGAGGAAACGAGCTTCCTGGAAATTGAAAAAGGTACCGCCTTTTTTTGCACAGTACTGTGAGCGGAATGGGAAGCAAAAACGAAAAAAGAAACAACACGCATTTAACACACCACTGAAATGAGACAGGTACCAGGAAAAAAAAAAAAAAAAAAAAAA